CCTTTCTATTATATTAATTGATTGTTATCATTTGAGCCATTCCTTTATATGTGTTAAAAATAAAAAATTTATTTTTAATAAATTTTAATAAATGTTTTTAAATTTTAATAAATAGGGAGAAGAACTCACTCATAATCAGATAGTACCGCTCCTAACGCTCGGCGGCGCTGGTCCTAGCGACTGCAGCGTGCGCGGTAAGGAGAGAAAAGGAGGCGTATACCGCGGAAATCGGCTGAAATGTTCAACTAATTTCGAGCACTGACCCATGTGATAAACTTTATTTTAAGTTCTGCCTACGTTTTACGTGTGTCTACATATTTATAATAAAGCAATAAATACTCATATATATTCCAAAGTTAAATATTTTAATATTAATCTGTGCTAGTTCATCTATTTTGAGGCAATAAGTTATATTTGACATTTAACATTTGTTAAATGTTTCATATATTTGTAATGATTTTTTATATATTCTTTTATTAATTTTTTTAAATTCAAAAGTGTATATCTAATATGAAAATTTCGCACAAATTTACATTGTTCCCAAATTAAAATAAGAATAATTTGCTGGCATACAATGTGCAGCAACTAAGTTGTAGCACACAGGTGACTTGTAAAATACAAATACAAATTTACATTAACAGAATTTGAAATAATAAATGTTTTAAAAATAATTATTGCACACATTAAATATTTTATTAGTCTTTCAAGTGGATATTTAATGAAGAAATATATAATTTTGGTAAAAATTTTTTACATATATAGATTTTATAAAATATTTGATAAATAAAATTAATTTAATGCTTGTACAAATATTCGAAATAATTACAAATTTTAAACATGTAGAAAATATTTAATATTTATAAATTTTATAAATATTTTACTGGATTTTATAAGCATTTTACAACTTGAAATATTTCATATATGTATATTATATTATAGAAGAATGAAAAATATTGTGAGAATAAACAATTATTCTAGAAATAATAAATAATATATGGATTATAAATTACCTTAAGGTTGCTGCACCGTCACTAGATGCCCCCAGGGCCTCCTTCACCCTCAGTGGTCCATCAGTGCTTGCGAAATTATGATTGCGTGTCTTTATACAGCATTCTCGACTTTATCAGCATTTTATACGACACTCCCGACGCATATTTTTCTACATATGTGTAACAAAGAGATAACTCGAAAAGCACGATCACATGGAGGTACGAATTTGGCATTTGTAGCATTCGAAACAGGTGGCAAGAAAGGAGAAAAACCAAATATTGCGCCGACAATTTTGCTGTCGTAATTGTGTTACATTTAAACTACTTTTGTAAGCTTTTCGCATTTTCCGTATATGAAAAATAGTTTTAATATCTCGTATAGTATAATTTCAAATAATTAACGTTTTTCAGATAAATAATAGAAGCTAAATTTGAATGATATATATCCGCGCAATAAAATATACAAAATCTTAATCGCAGTAGTTGATCAGTTGCGAGCGAATTGACAATTATTTGCAGAAAAGAATATTTCAATTTTAATAGTGGTTATATGATTTGAGAAATGATAACGCGACAATTAATAACGAAGCGAATCTCGCTGCCACCTGCTCTGCTTGAACGCCGCCATGCGAATGTGAAAGGTAGCGGACGAACAACGGCATATGCCGCGTCTACGCGTTACAAAAAATGTAAACACGTCGTGAGCTACCACCGAATTCCATACGCGTGACGTTGATTGTTTTTGTTTTTCTTTTGCGATCTATTCTGTAGTACGTACTTTCACCTTGCTAGCACTCGTATGGCGGCAGTCGAGCAGACAACACAAGACAAAAGTCGCTCCGTATTTTCGCGTTTCTATATCGTAATTGCGATAAGTACTTACATTATTTTTTATGAATAACTGTTGCTTAATAATTAACGATATTAATTAGTTGCCGCAATTAACAATTTGTCTGTTTAACATCGCGAACAATTATTTTCAATTTAATTTGAGTGTCTATTCACGTTTATATGTTCGAGGAGCGAGTAGTTCAAACGTAGCATAGCTCCGACGGGTAGTACACAAAGTTAATCGCGTAATTTTCAATTCTTTTCTGTCGTTGTTGTCTGCTTCGGATTGTCGAACGGATCGTAGCTGTGTGATCGCGTTTTTCGAATTATTCCTTTATTAAGATTTAATAAAGCACGCGCCAGGCAGCCGTATAAAGCGTTGCACGATCGTTGTGATAAAATTCGCGTTGGTGGTGCCGTAAAAGAAAAACCAATTGGACCACTGAGAGGTGGAGGAGGCCCAGGGAGGCATGGGGCAACGGCGGAGCAACCTTAAAGTAAAATATCATTTATATTATTTGTTACTTCTGGAATATTAATTGTTATTCTTATAACTTTTTGTATTATGTGTAATAAAATACATATAAAATATTTTATATTGCTTTAAAATACTTTCAAATAATTAGAGTATCCAGGAAAATAATTACAATTTTACATTTGTGAACATTGAATATTTTCTACAAGTTTCATATTTTTAATTATTTTAATTGCTTAATTAATGGTTACAAATTTAATTTATACAAACATTCGATTTTATTTATGAAATATTTTATAAAGTTTTATATATGTATAAAAATTTTTTCTTCTGGAAATTATATAGTTTATTTATTAAAGATTTGTTTGAAAGACAAATAAAGAATTTAATACCAGCAGTAATTACTTTAAAATATTAATTATTTTAACAAATATAATAGAAGGGGCATCCAGAGATTAATTATTTTGATTATGGCTATAATGTGGGTATGTATTTGTATTTTACAGATCGACACTCTACAACTCCACTGTTGCGCATCATATACCGGTAAGTAACAAATTATCATTATTTTAATTTGGTGATAATGGATCTATAAAATATATATTAGATATACTAAAATTAAAAAAGATAAAAAGATAAAAAATTACAGAACATAATTATAAAAAATATTTAAAAACATAATTATAAATATATCAAATATGCCTATTTAATGGATCCATTGTCTTGGCTAGAATGGGCTAGAATAAATTGGTTCTAAAATATTTAATTATTGAATATATTCTTTTCTTAATTATGCACATAAGATTGCACGTTTACAGAATGAAGCTCATTACATTCAATAAGCAATGACGTAGAATAATTTTTGCAAAAAGAGAAAAATCTCTAAAGAATTTTTGCTGTTTTTTATATTTTTGATGTATGAAGAATTTTAAGTATACTAAGAACACTAAGCACGTATGAAATTTTGAGAGAATACAACTAGGAACATGAAGTAATATATTACTGATTTTATATGAAGACACATTATTTAATATACTACTTGAATATTTTACTTAATATATTAAATTTATAACTTTGATCATATTTGTAAGTTTGCTACTTAGATAAATAGCACAAAAAAAGAGAAATAAGTAAAACTATAATAAGTCAAATAATATTTTAAAAATATTTAAAATTTTTTATAGTTTATATTAATAGTTTTAATTTTTAAATATATATATACATATATATTTCTTCATTGAGTCTTCACATCTTATGGAAAATAACAATTAAAGTGCTCTCATTTATTGTATGTATTTGGATGTGAAAAATAAGTTGAAATAAAAATAAATATTTGTACAATTAATTTATAATATAATAAAAATAATTTGAATACGTGCTTTTTCTTTGTTTTTCTTGCTTTAAATATTTCTTGAATAATTTGAGATAAATTTTGGCTTTGATATTCTTCCCAAAGTTAAATATTAATTCATGCAGAAATGTAATATATAAAGAATTTCTTAAAAAATTTATATATTGTAAATAAATTAAAATCAAAGAGCAAATATTTTACATAGAGTCTACTTCAATTAATTTATATAATGAGAAACCATGTACTTGCAATTAATAAGTATTATCTGTAATATAATTGTATTTATTTTTACAATGTCAATTTTATCCTAATTTTTTCTAGCCTATTTATATATGTTTATATTTTAATTGCAAAATCCATTTTCAAGTTAGACTTACGTTTATTGTCATATAATTAAATCTGTGAAGTATATTCTTGATCCACAATTTCTGAATATAGAGTACAGACATACTACAACCGATAGTGCCGTTTGTCGGCAATATAGAAAAATGAATGTTTTGAGTTTTGTTACGTCTGGTCACAGGTCTATATAGTTGGCCCCCCCCCCCCTAAGCAAATCGTAAAAACATTTATATATTCGGATTGTACATCGTTTGTACATGAATGTACTATGATTTTTTATCGTTTGTACATTCTTCGTTAAATTTTAAAAAAAAATTCAAAGTTTTCATAACAGTGCTAATGATAGTTAGCCCCCCCTATGTCGCAATTACGTCACGTATACTATAATTTATGAATTTATCGTGCTTAATCGTTTGTACGTCGTTTGTACATTATTAATAATCGGTTAAATTTATATTCCAACATTTTGTTTTTGTTTAAAACGCAAAATAAATAATTTTTATTTGAATATGGCGGGTACGGAGCACGGAGCGGGTGCGCATGCGTTTTAGTAACTTCCTGCTAGAAAATGGCAGATAAATCTTCAAAGTGCATTTACATTAATGTCAATTTTACCAACATCAAAACTGAAATATGATAGTCAATTGCTGAAACAAAAAAAATACACTGAAGTATTTCATGTAAATGCTGAGGGCCATGGCGCTTATAGAAACGTTAGCAGTAAAATTTAAGCGGTAAACAAATTGGCTAATCAATCTTACGTTTTCGAGAATACTACACTGTAATTGGTTAATTTGTTTACTAATTAAATTTTACTTATGTTTCTTATGTTGTCATTGCACTCATTTACAAAATCATTGGTAGGGCCTATCCGGACAAACTTGCATAGTCGCATAAAAATATGCATAAGGAAATTGATTAGTCCATTTCTTTATGCATCTGTTTATGGACCAAATTTTATCATATGTTTATGCGATTATAGCAAGTTTATCTGGATAGACCCTTATGCATCTTCGTCTTGAGCTTCGAGAGCGGGCAGCCATGCCGCTTTGTTAATCGAGCTCAGAAGTTATTCAGTGCTTGTTCTTTTTGAACAATGGCATCATTTTTTCACATTTTTTGACACCGAGATTCGGTTTTTTTTTTCCAGTTTTATTCAATCCATATTCGTATATTTTCTCTCACCAAAAACCATATGGTCGAGAGATTGATATGTTCACGTGGTATTACATAGCTCTACGTAATAAAATATTCCAGTGATAATTCTGGCCACCAAAATCAGTGGAGACAAGTATAATAGCTGTTACATAAAGGTATAATTAAATTTTTACTTTTACAATATTCATTTACCTAACATATTTATCTAAACATTTACATTGATTTAAAGCATCGTAATATTCGTTGCTACATAAGGACATATTACATTCTCAAATCGATGAGAAACGATTCTCAATCAAAAACAGTGTGGACTTAGATGACACAAATACAACAGAGGATTTGGTTGACACAGATACTGTGAAAATGATTCAAATATTACAAATGAAGAATAAAAGGTACGTTG